ATGTAAATCCAAGGCAACTATTTGCTCAGGTTGACTTTCCAAGGTGCTCTATTAACATCGATTCTTAAAGTACGATTTTCGTTGAAGGATATCAGCTTAAATGACGAAAGCTTATTTCTTCTTTTAAATCTGTTGACGTCAATTTTTCTTGAGTCCATCTGCGGAGAAATACACGTTGACTATTTAAACTTCCGGTTAAGGTAATTTCCTGATCGGAAGAGGATAGTTCACAGTAAAACGGAAACTACTTCGTAACGGCGAAAACGGGAGTTTGTCTTCGGTTGGGAGGCATTATTATTAAAATATACTCATCCTTGAAGCAAACCTCGAGTCATCAAGTTAAAATCACCACACTTAACAAACTTATATTATGTAGCCCGGAATCTACTCGTTTTAGGTTCTTCAGGGTATTTCCTTCACTTTTACAGATATACTTGTGTTGAAACATTCAAAAAAACCAATTTCCGCCTTAAACGACATTTTTGTGTTTTCTCGTTGAGGCCAAGGTACTCAGTTTGCATTACTTCTCTGGAAATCATGTGAAATATGTATCCGATGTGAGGCCTTAAATTTCGCCGGAAAAATGTTTTGACAGCCAAATTCATTTTTCGTCTATTATTATCTACCCATAAAAGAACAATTTATGAAAAGGAGACATATTGTTAGTAATACGTACCCTTTTGAAAAGTGCGAAAAGTACAGTGCTGTCCTAACTGTTTGTCTTTATTCAATGTTTTCTTACTATTATTACGCACATGGAATGTAAAATTTATGAGTTCTTCTTATCAAGTGAACACATCCATTCGCGAGTGGCTAGATCTAGTCATCTAGCACTTCAGTTGTAAACCGTTGCCTCTCGTGTTCAGTTAGAGCTTAATCATATCAAGACGGATGTCTGCTGATCATGAAATGTATTGTTACACTACTGTAATTTATTGTCCCTGACCATCAGTTGAATGAAATACGGGCAAAGATACGAATATCAATGCTTAACAGCAAGCAAAAGCAAGGGGAGGAAAAAATAACTAAGAAATAAATAGTAAAGAAGACGGAAATTAAAAGCGTGAAAGACAAATGAAAAGATTAAGAGGGACAAAAGTATAGAAACTCAGTTAAACTGGCGGTAAGAGAAACAAATTGATAAATGAGAGGAGACTGAGAGATTTTAGATATTTGCGAATTTGCTCGCACTGTAAATGATAATTTTCTGTGTTAAATTAATTTCAGGAGTATTCCTGAGCTTACAAGACTTGCAAAATACCAGGTACAATCATGACTGTCCTTAAAAATAAGTGAAATTGTGATTGTTAGCACTCTCTATCTATTGTTATATATGCCTCTCGTTGTCGTGATGAGGCTACCTAAACTTGTTTTTGTTTCATGCCGGTCATACAGCGCTATTTTAGATTAGGAATCAAAGAAGAGGTCATGCATGTGGATGTCATCATACTAGAGCGGCGGTGCATACCAGTAAAGAGATGGCGATGACATTAATCTAATAAAGACTCCCATATACTGTCTTCTTAAAAAAGAAAAGTGAAAATGATCTTCGGCGTCCGCGTAATACCAAGATGTAGAGTCGTGCCCTTTTAAACTCTCACCAGAGAAGTGGACCCCCCAGGGATGCTCAATTTAGCAGCATGGAAAGACAATCTTATCGCGGTTTAACCATTTCAAACACAATTAAGTGTTGTTTGTTTCAGGTTGCTGTCGCTCAGTAGGTTCAGACCCAAATGTGATACACACGGGCATAGAAAAGGGAATTGATTCCTGCTGATAGCTGACACGGGCTAGCTCTCTCTACAGTCCTTCCATCTCCTCCAATGGGCGCATCATACTCATAAGACCACATAACTTATTTTAAAGTGGAAGAAACAAACCACGAAATAGATATGATAAACCAATCGGTTACGCTCTAGACGAGTTGAAACACGACTTTGATGCAACTCTTCCTTAGTTCTTTTAAACACAGACAGCTGTTTTGCAAGACACTTCGTCACAGGAAGGAAATGAGCCCAGACGTTTCCGAGATGTTCGTTGTGTTGTAGCTGTTTGAGGATGAAATAATTTTCTTTGATTTTAACTCTCAAGGACTCGCAAATTGAGAATTAAATTCGAATGACTCCAAGACGAAAATTACAGGGTTGAACAAAAAAGAAATCAGCTCTAACGATCCGCTGCTGGTAGCAGTAGAAGAGTTTGTGTACTTCCATAAAAACGTCATTTCCGTCGACGCCCTAAGCTTTTTGTTTCCAATTTAAAAGCCAAATTCCGATTCACTAATTTTAAATAATGATCCTATTTTGGCTGAAAAGAAAATTCTAGGTATGGTTCATTTCAAATGGATAATTATACAGGAAATGCTAGAAAAACGACATAATTATTTCTAAACAATTGTCAGCTTGTTTGGTTACATCTATCAACGTTAAAGTTAGCGGAAAAACAGCAATAAAATGAAAATAATCGAGATGTTTACAAAGGGGTTAACAAAATTGTTATCACGGATATGGTTGCCGATTTTATTCATGAGAGAAAGTTCGAGCTAACTTTGGTGTCAGATTGGGTGAGTTTAACTTGAAAATCCATTTATTTTTGTCAGCATTTAATTTTACATAAAGTCAGAAGTTGTGGTAATCAGGAAGTAATAGATCAAACTGGATGTGCGAGTGTTCAATGAGGGGTTCAAAACACCGAATAACACATGGGATGCACTTTTGCCCCAGCTTAACACTATCACCCGCCTCACCGTCTGTGAGACCGATTTACAGCCGGGATGCTCCGGAGGATATCGTACGATCCCGATCATAGTGTGAGCCTCTTAAATACTCTGAAATGCAGNCAATGATTCAGTCATCCTCAGCTAAGTTCTTGTTGACTTTATTTTACGGTGTAAAATTCATACAAATGAAACAGGAAATGCATCAGTCAAAGCATAAATCAACAGCAGACTAGTTGTTATGGACCACAGGGAAGGAACTCGGACCTTCTGTATTGATTGTCTGAAAGTTTGAAAATGAGCTATTTGTTTTGTCAGGTTTGAACGGTCTTGAACGTCCGATTTCTTCCTGATATCAGAACGCAAACTTTTTAATCGAAAGCTTAACTGATTATTTGCCACATTTCGACTGCTAAAGTAACTTAGATGGCTTATATAGTAGCAACGAGACTCTGCAAGTTCGCTGGAACATAACCATCACAGTATTCATCTCTATCATCTATCTAAACGTTTAGCCTTCAGTATTTCAACGCAAGTTAACAAATTATGTCACATTGCAAAAATATATCATTATTCCACTGTGAAAGTTCTTTTGAAAAATGGTTAAATTGCAGGGCCGTAGCCAGAAAAACATTATGACTGAGACAATTTCCATAGTTGAATTCTCTTCCTACAGCTACTTGGCAGCTTTGTTTACTTTCTCCCTTCAGAAAAGAGACTACAGGAACGAAAATATGACTGAGGCAAGTGCCTCGGTTTGTCTCATACTGCCTACGGCCTTGAAATGTAATCTTTCTTTTGTGTTTATAGACCTTAATTAAGAGAGAATGAATAGCGAGAGAGTTAAACAACATGAGAGGGATTATCTTTTGTAAAAGGACTATACGATTGACTTCGTTTACCCTTTGTCATAGTTTACTCGCGGTATTTGGTTGCATGCGGATGGCGTGGCTATATTCTATAGCCATATATATATGTTATTTTAGTGTTAGGTTCTGCAAATTTATCCTTTCCTTTGCTGCGCTACAACAACTAGGAAGATGTCACAGTTCATATGCTGTATGTACACATTCGCACATGCGCAAGGCCCTGCGCTGATTTCCCTTGTTTGCTCGTACGATTAAAAACGTGTTGTTTATCATCTCAAGTGCATTTAATCCTTTTCATCCTAACCGAAACTACAACACCCTTCATCCTCTCTAGCCTTAGTTTTGTATAGCTTACATGTAGTTGTGTCTCGGGCTCAGTTCCACCACTCTCCTAATTAAAAAAACGAAATAAAATATGCAGAGTTTGATAGTTACATTTCAGTACTCCATTAGTCGTTTAATTTTCTACCCAGATTACTATATTGATATCATTATTTAATCAATCAGTATTATTAAGCAATACCAGAGACATTGATTCAAGTGAAACCAAACGACCCTCTACATTTTCTTTCCGTTTCCATTTTCTTATTTTTAATTTCTCATCTCTCTGGGCATTCTTTTCAGGGAAGTAATCAAAACAAAACAAATCAAACTTTCTGAGGTATTTTTAGTTTGTAACTGTCCAAATCTATAAACTCTTGAGACTGCTGAGTCGCACAATTAGACTGACTGGTCGTTGAAGAGGAAGGCAGAACTTCTTGTTTATCGACTGGGTTGTTTCTCCAGCGCCTCTTACTGTCCATCAAAGCGGTTTCCATTTCGTCCCTGGCTTCCTTTCTCCATTTTGTTCTTCTGTTTTGGAACCATGTTTTCACTTGTGTTTCTGTGAGATTCAGGGTCGAAGCCAGCTCTGCTCGTTTTTCTTCAGACACATAGCGGTTTCTGGTAAATTCCTGTTCCAATCCCTGCACTTGACTTTGTGTAAACAAAGGTCTTTGTTTTCTTTTTCGCATATTACGTCTTCTTCGCAGGTAAGGGGTTACACCTTTAGGAGAGCAAAGAGTCCAAAAACTTAGATTTGTTGTATTTTCTTGTTTATACCTAAAAACAGAACTGTTTTTCTTTTTAAAGTTGGAAAATCCCACACGCCAGTAAATATTTATACGAGGCTGCACGAGTAGCAGCGGTGAGTATCGGTCGAGTTAAGTCAGTAAAGTAAAGGCATTAGACTGTAAAACGTCAAATTTATTTTTTAGACTCCTTTTACTCTTTTCAATGTTATTAATTCTTTAACCTTTACGCCTATATAGAGAGTTAGCCAAACGTTCCCGATACTCTTACACGGTCACATGATGTGTTTGACTGACTTGTGATCGAGACATTCAATACAAATCAACGCCAAGATCACATAAACTGCAGAGAGCAAAGGCAACTTACGCAAAAAACTTTAAACATGGAGAACTCTAGACTCGATCGCTTTAATTCTCGAATCCATGAAGTCTTTGCACTAGCCTAACAAATATTAATTTTTGTTTCCGACTTAACTGGTCCCGCAAAATGTTCTGATATTAAAGCTGTGCTATGCTGTAGAATGCGTGTACCGCTCGTCTGTTTTATTACACTCAGCAAGAATTACAAGGCACTAACTGCACAAAGCTCAGCGAGTTCATCTGCTGAAAGGTAAAGATGTCGGACGAAATAAAAGGAATAGTTTAAGTTGTCAAAACGTTCTTTTAAGAACCGCTAACACGATTCAGTGTCATTTAAGGTATTCTGTGGCCTTTTGGAGGGTCGAACCCTGATAAATTTAGCATCGCCTGGAGATGACACCTCTTACATCAACGCTTTAAATCCATCAGTAACCTGTAGGAGAGAAACTTCGTCCTTAATAAAATTTGATGAGAGCCACATGCCATTACAACAAGAATATCTGCGGTACGGTGAAGTTTCATCTCCCAGGTTCATGGCTTCAAGTTTTACAAAGCGAAAAGGTGCCAGAGAAAAGAGAAAAAAAATATTCAAGATATTTTGTATGGGATTTACTAATTACAACCAGCACAATGATAACGGAGTCTAGAAAAGTGGAGTTGCTCCTGGTGGACCCGCTCTCTAATTCAAATACATTTCCTTATAAAACCCAAGTTTCAAATACGCCAAAAAAACAAGCATGAGGAAAGAAAACTTGAGAGATTGAAATAGTTGCTGCCGAACCAGCTTGACAATACATGACGGAACCAAACTACTGTGTGGGTGTTTTTCATTTAAATGTTAATTTATTTTTACAGCTATTCGGCTGTCGCTCAAAATTTATACTCTTTTTGATTTGGATTTCATCCTTCCAGAATGAGACGATTTATTTCCTCCTTTTAAGTAGAGTTACACATGTAATTCTTGTCAATTAGGCACACAAAGAAAGCTGCTCTTGGCGGCAAACTTATGAAAGTGTTTGCTGCTGTTCTCAGTCGGTCTTAATCGACATCTGCTTACCTCGTCAAACTCTCAATCAAACTGTACTCCATCAGAAGTCTTGTTCGCACTCCATCGATCATGTCTCATGCAATATGACTGAATTCTTTCTGTGTTACTACCTGCAGACGTAGCCTGGGCTAACAGCCCACAACTCTTGAAATATACTCCAGTGTGAGAACTATGAGCGTGCAATGCTCACACCCGGCTTCACTCCACACATGACTAACGCTCTTATTCACTCACCTGGAAGAAATCTCATAAAGCGAGTACCAAGCAACCAAGGAGGGAAATGTCTCGCTGCATTTAACCACTGTGTTGTACTGTACATAGGCGATAAAGCTCCTTCCATGTTGAATGCAACTGGTCTGAAAGCTTGAGGGACGATAGGACATCCAAACACCGGACAGTCTTCTTCGCGATTCAACACTTGTGCACATTCATCCTTAGGTTCTTCTGGAAGATTCAAAATATTCTTTATGGAAAATGAGTTGTCAGATGCCTGTTGCTGCGGCTGTACGGTCGGGACGTCTTCTCGACTAATCGACGCCATGGTTGAAATGTGTTTCAGGGCGGTGCGCTGCACTAGTGTGAAAAGCGGCACCCTCGGTCGTCAGAGGTACTCACACAATACCTGTGCATTGTTGTCCAATTAGTGCTATTAGTCACTTGTGCACTTGGAAATGTCAAATACTGTAGTGTCGATTTCACTTCATTGCAATTCTGTACCGTATGTAAATCCAAGGCAACTATTTGCTCAGGTTGACTTTCCAAGGTGCTCTATTAACATCGATTCTTAAAGCACGATTTTCGTTGAAGGATATCAGCTTAAATGACGAAAGCTTATTTCTTCTTTTAAATCTGTTGACGTCAATTTTTCTTGAGTCCATCTGCGGAGAAATACACGTTGACTATTTAAACTTCCGGTTAAGGTAATTTCCTGATCGGAAGAGGATAGTTCACAGTAAAACGGAAACTACTTCGTAACGGCGAAAACGGGAGTTTGTCTTCGGTTGGGAGGCATTATTATTAAAATATACTCATCCTTGAAGCAAACCTCGAGTCATCAAGTTAAAATCACCACACTTAACAAACTTATATTATGTAGCCCGGAATCTACTCGTTTTAGGTTCTTCAGGGTATTTCCTTCACTTTTACAGATATACTTGTGTTGAAACATTCAAAAAAACCAATTTCCGCCTTAAACGACATTTTTGTGTTTTCTCGTTGAGGCCAAGGTACTCAGTTTGCATTACTTCTCTGGAAATCATGTGAAATATGTATCCGATGTGAGGCCTTAAATTTCGCCGGAAAAATGTTTTGACAGCCAAATTCATTTTTCGTCTATTATTATCTACCCATAAAAGAACAATTTATGAAAAGGAGACATATTGTTAGTAATACGTACCCTTTTGAAAAGTGCGAAAAGTACAGTGCTGTCCTAACTGTTTGTCTTTATTCAATGTTTTCTTACTATTATTACGCACATGGAATGTAAAATTTATGAGTTCTTCTTATCAAGTGAACACATCCATTCGCGAGTGGCTAGATCTAGTCATCTAGCACTTCAGTTGTAAACCGTTGCCTCTCGTGTTCAGTTAGAGCTTAATCATATCAAGACGGATGTCTGCTGATCATGAAATGTATTGTTACACTACTGTAATTTATTGTCCCTGACCATCAGTTGAATGAAATACGGGCAAAGATACGAATATCAATGCTTAACAGCAAGCAAAAGCAAGGGGAGGAAAAAATAACTAAGAAATAAATAGTAAAGAAGACGGAAATTAAAAGCGTGAAAGACAAATGAAAAGATTAAGAGGGACAAAAGTATAGAAACTCAGTTAAACTGGCGGTAAGAGAAACAAATTGATAAATGAGAGGAGACTGAGAGATTTTAGATATTTGCGAATTTGCTCGCACTGTAAATGATAATTTTCTGTGTTAAATTAATTTCAGGAGTATTCCTGAGCTTACAAGACTTGCAAAATACCAGGTACAATCATGACTGTCCTTAAAAATAAGTGAAATTGTGATTGTTAGCACTCTCTATCTATTGTTATATATGCCTCTCGTTGTCGTGATGAGGCTACCTAAACTTGTTTTTGTTTCATGCCGGTCATACAGCGCTATTTTAGATTAGGAATCAAAGAAGAGGTCATGCATGTGGATGTCATCATACTAGAGCGGCGGTGCATACCAGTAAAGAGATGGCGATGACATTAATCTAATAAAGACTCCCATATACTGTCTTCTTAAAAAAGAAAAGTGAAAATGATCTTCGGCGTCCGCGTAATACCAAGATGTAGAGTCGTGCCCTTTTAAACTCTCACCAGAGAAGTGGACCCCCCAGGGATGCTCAATTTAGCAGCATGGAAAGACAATCTTATCGCGGTTTAACCATTTCAAACACAATTAAGTGTTGTTTGTTTCAGGTTGCTGTCGCTCAGTAGGTTCAGACCCAAATGTGATACACACGGGCATAGAAAAGGGAATTGATTCCTGCTGATAGCTGACACGGGCTAGCTCTCTCTACAGTCCTTCCATCTCCTCCAATGGGCGCATCATACTCATAAGACCACATAACTTATTTTAAAGTGGAAGAAACAAACCACGAAATAGATATGATAAACCAATCGGTTACGCTCTAGACGAGTTGAAACACGACTTTGATGCAACTCTTCCTTAGTTCTTTTAAACACAGACAGCTGTTTTGCAAGACACTTCGTCACAGGAAGGAAATGAGCCCAGACGTTTCCGAGATGTTCGTTGTGTTGTAGCTGTTTGAGGATGAAATAATTTTCTTTGATTTTAACTCTCAAGGACTCGCAAATTGAGAATTAAATTCGAATGACTCCAAGACGAAAATTACAGGGTTGAACAAAAAAGAAATCAGCTCTAACGATCCGCTGCTGGTAGCAGTAGAAGAGTTTGTGTACTTCCATAAAAACGTCATTTCCGTCGACGCCCTAAGCTTTTTGTTTCCAATTTAAAAGCCAAATTCCGATTCACTAATTTTAAATAATGATCCTATTTTGGCTGAAAAGAAAATTCTAGGTATGGTTCATTTCAAATGGATAATTATACAGGAAATGCTAGAAAAACGACATAATTATTTCTAAACAATTGTCAGCTTGTTTGGTTACATCTATCAACGTTAAAGTTAGCGGAAAAACAGCAATAAAATGAAAATAATCGAGATGTTTACAAAGGGGTTAACAAAATTGTTATCACGGATATGGTTGCCGATTTTATTCATGAGAGAAAGTTCGAGCTAACTTTGGTGTCAGATTGGGTGAGTTTAACTTGAAAATCCATTTATTTTTGTCAGCATTTAATTTTACATAAAGTCAGAAGTTGTGGTAATCAGGAAGTAATAGATCAAACTGGATGTGCGAGTGTTCAATGAGGGGTTCAAAACACCGAATAACACATGGGATGCACTTTTGCCCCAGCTTAACACTATCACCCGCCTCACCGTCTGTGAGACCGATTTACAGCCGGGATGCTCCGGAGGATATCGTACGATCCCGATCATAGTGTGAGCCTCTTAAATACTCTGAAATGCAGGTCTTATGGGATCCAATGTTAAGCTCGAAAAACGAGAAAATATACTAGCATATTTCGCGAGCAAGCACGAAGCAGGGAGGCCAGAAGAATTAGAACGAAAAAAATTCTACTAAAATCTAAACCTATTGTTAGGAAAACCGTGAAGACGAGCCACAGTAGATCTTCTGTTGGAGGGGTAAAAAATTCCTCCTTAACTGGGAAGATCTATCGCGCTAAAAAGGCCAAATTGAAAAAGGGGCTCTGAAGGCCATTTAGGAATGATCAGACCTGAACAGGCCATAAGAACTCGAACCTCACGTGAGGAACGATCCAGTTGTTCCCTCCTCTATAATCCTGAACTAAGGCATCTTCGCTGCTGCAGCTAAAAAGGGCCGCAATCCTAGAATTAAACCCAGAAACCTGGGAAAAGAAGTCAAAAGGCTAGCATCGTGGAATCGGAAGACCAATTACCTCACCAATCAGCAGACGTTTAATATGGGGAAGGAGGGGGACTGGGAGAAAGGAAAGCAGGCGTTCCATCATTCTCGTCCCCATAGCCCGTTTCGCGTTTCACTGGTTTTGGACCCACCGGGAAAGGTGTTGATCTCAAATAATATAGAAACTTTTGTAGGTGCTGGCAGTGATAACGGCGTCGCTTGATTTGGATAGGTAAAGAATTGTTTACATTGTATGTACAGTTGTGCAGATACTTCAAGTATTTAAACGACAAATTTGGTATTTAAGTCCATCTTAGTGATCACCTTAACAGTTATTACAGCACGTATCAGTAAGTACGAAGATACTGAGGCGCTATACTCTTCGAGTAGTGACGTCAGCGTTCATTGGTCACGGCACAGTACTCAGCGACAAGGAAAGACTGTTAATTCAGTTTCCTCAAAGTATCAACAAAGAAAACCAGCGAAAATATTTTTCAACACAAGATTTAGTGGTACTTTTTCGAAATTATTTCACAAAAGTCTCGTCACAGCACGCAGGCAGTGAATTCAACAGTACTAACTTGATTCAGTGTGGAAGAGTTGACTTTAAAACAATTCTTAAGAAGGAAAAGTGAGTACCGTGTTTGCAGAGCTCAAAATTAAGCTCTTCCCAGCGAGAAAGGTGTAGAAAGATCGATTGCCAGATACAGCTCACTTCAACATGTCTTAAATGTGAGCTTTTGGATAAAAGTAGCCAGATTTTAAGGTTTTAAAGTGAGTACTGTTGCTGAGTACTGTTAAGTTATGCAAATAAAAAGTGATCAACTCTTTGTGCATAACATTAAAAAATGTCACACTATACTATTTCGTAAACAAATAAAGGGAAATGACTTCCAATGGCTGGAAACAACTTTGTAATATTTGATTGGCACCCTTTGGACGAAATTATACAGTTTGCGATGCCCGTTCGCTGCATGTATCACATATTCATGCTACAGATGACTTCGAGATTTGAAATTTCTGCGCGATTTCCCGGAGTGAAAACCTTCTGTTTTCGTAAAAAAAACCCAAGACTTTTGCTCGCTGTTCGACAGAAATTCTTGTATGCACCATGATCTATAATACCTGTTGCTGCGTTAACCATGCTTTTCCTTTCAAATACTGCACGCACGAGTCTGAGATAAAATAAATTCCGATTTACACCGCGCGTGGGGAAAAATTGAAAAGGATAAAAAAAAACCTTAATAAACGCACAAAATATTACTTTCAAAAATAGTAATTGTATTACGATATATTCACAGAGTTGAGAGAAAACACATTTAGAATGTGAAAAGCCACTGAAAAGTGACATTTTATTTCTCAACTGAAATTCAGACGCCAGACGCGAATACAACTTCACCTGCCTAACCTCGCCCCCCACCCCCATACAATGTTGAAAACTACTACCTGCAATTTCTTCTGACTTTCAACATTGTATGGGGTGTGGAGGGGGATCAGTAATGCGTTTTTAAAAGGAAAGGGGCGCTTTTTTCAAACTTCAGTAGTAAAACACATACAATTCGTTAAATTAAATAAGTGTCCAGAGGACTTTTGTCCACGATTGTAGGTGAACCCTGCAGAACAGGCGGATTAGCGGAGCAGAGAACGAAACGCGATACAAGAGCGCGGGGCGCACGATTTCTTTCTTCTCGCGCTTCGCACTCGTGGTCGCGCTCCGCGCTCGTGTATCGCGTTTCGCTGTCTGCCCCGCCAATCCGCCTCTTCTGCAGCTAGCGAAGAGGATCTAGGACGATATGTGTGTACATACATGACGCAAGTACTTCAAGTGGGAATCTAGACCGCTGGTCAGCGAGAAGGAGGTCTCGCTGTTTGAGTGAGACACACGTGTGTGGAACCTTCCAAGTTTTCGGTGTCCTCAGTTGTAATGGGAAGAAAGAACAAATTTTCGAGTAAGTGGTCGACTGATGCAACACCAATAGGTCCTGGTAGGAAAGCAAGGAAGCAACCAGCACCGAAGTTACCAAAACAGTTGGGTAAATAGTACATTTTTCCGTCTTTAAAACGTACGAATCTTTGTCATCATGGTTCGGGTAGAATGGTACGGGTACCCAAAAATAAAACGGCTCTCTCGACGAAGAGTGAACGACTTTGCCCCTTTCTGTGCACGGGTAAATTTGGTACCCTTTCCTGAAAACCTGACCCAGCAGTACTGAGCATGGATAAAGTTGTTATAAGCTCAGTTTTTTGACGGGAGTTATGTCTGCTTCTGTCCTCCTATCCATGACAAATTCGCTAAAACATTGTCGCAGTAGCTGTAGGTCCGCAAGGCGAAGCTCAGTGAATCCACAGCTGGGCGCGTGAGGAGCAAAGCATGCGCATGTCTGTGACGTAAATTCACAAATTCATGCGGCGCTTCTGGTCGCTGGAAATGTCATCGGATGACAATCATGGACCCTACAACTCATTACATCTGTACAGTGTACATTTGCCGTTCTCTTTTAATTTTGGTCTTCCAACCTATTTTGTTTCACATTACTGCTGGGGACAGTGCTGTGGAAGGACATTATGTATTATGCTGTGTTCTAAGGAAGAGTTTGTCTTAGAGCAAAACTGTTCAACTGTGATGTAGCAACTGTCATGTCGAAGGTTGCACCCCAACTTTTGATCTTTAACGTCTCTTAAGTTCTCCTGCGTACAACATTCATAAATTCCACCTGGTCCGCCATTGATCTGATGAGATAACTTATGCCTCACTACGTGAAAAATCTGTGGGCGGTTATCTGATTGGCTTTTAGACTAACAAAAGGATCCTCAAGTGTCCAGCCATACCTTTGGAGGGGGAGTACGTAGCATATTTTTTCATTTTTAAGGCGCATCACTTTTTCAAAGAAAATATGCCTGTTCAATCGAAATCTGATCCAATCTCGGGGTGCATCTTATAACCAAGTATGTTCATACCACAAAATGCAATTTTGCCAATTTTCACTGATGATGAACCAGTTAAACATTGGCTAACATGCCATTTGCTATCATCCGCATCCTCTGCATAATCGGAGATTTTTTCCGCATAAAACAGAAAAATTGTTCCTTATTAGTGACAAAGCAGCTGCCTTCCAACCCCAGAAGCAAGAATTCTGAGGAGACTGATTATTTTGAATTAGTTTTTGACCTAAATCAGCAATGAAAACATGCTATTTTGTTCCGTGACGAATTTTTGACCTCCAGGTGTTCCATTAGCAAATTTGGAAAGCATAGTGTTGTTATCCAAGTGAATGGGATCAAAAAATTTCCTATAGTTCAGTTTGCGTCTTATAACTGAGTATTTAGGAGAAATTTTCAGTTTGTAAACTTGATACACTTACATGTATGTCTAAAAGTTAACAGTGTGTATTATAAGCGAGTGAGCCTTATAACTGAAGAAATATGGTATTCTTTTCCCAGACAGTGGCTGGTAATTTGGCCTAAACAGTATTGGAACACAATCATAAATTAAAACATTTGGAGCAATTAAATGCAATTGAACCTTTGACTGAGTATGATGGTCGAAGTGTGATTGATAAATGGCATCCAATGCCTGTGCAGGTGATGACGCTTTAGAATATCTGAAATACATGTATTAGCTACCCACTAATTGCAAAAAAAACCCAAGATGTTGAATGGAGATAAGTAAATGAAGTTGCTTGAAGTTGAAACAACCTTATGTATTTTAAGTTTGCTTTCTGGGAGGAGAGGAGTAAGCAGAATCTTTTATGTTGTGTGCTGTTTGGTTGTGACTTATACAAGTCAAAACTACATGAACTATCTGGTTCAGGTGAACATGGCGTCTTTTTACCAATTTTAAAACCTTTAGCACACTAAGGGGCTTATTTAAAGGATCTGTGCATCCTCTTGGAACTAGATCTAATCTACATGTACATACATTGTAAATTAAATTATTTACACTTGTGATTAGATTGAGCAGCTAAATACATTTGCACTTAGTTCCTGCTGTACAACTGTACATGTACTTGACTAAACATGTTTTGACTCTGAACTAATAAGCAATTCAACAACTCACAGTTCTGTTTGCTCTTCTACCATATATGTTTGGGTTCTTGGTGTCCTTTTACAAAATTATAAAATCTGTAACACAGTAAAATGAGTGTGAGACCCAGTCTTCATAAATTAAATTATTGATAGGGCAAAACACTTTTTATTGCATTTGAGTATTGAACTCAGACAAATCCAATACTTCATTTAAGTTTGATTATATGCAGTTAAGTCTTTGGAAAACACCACATGTAGGTGACAAGTCACAGCAACTTGATCTAGGGAGAAGTGGCAGTGATATTGTGAAATGGATAATTTTGTGAAAATCTTTGTCCCAGCAACAGAATTGTTCTCCTGTGAAAAGTTGAACAATTTCAAACTGGTCTGTGCATGTGATCACAACAAGAAAATGAATCATGCTGACTTGTTTTGGAAGCAATACACAAAAAGTGTTTTGTCACCTGGTATGTCCCGAAATCATGGTTATCGGTGGCATTTTTAGTTGCTCACTTCTTGAACTGAATTTTGCTCTACTAGCGGGTGACTTGGCAAGTAAATGCTTTTGAACAGTGGCTTTGTCTGTGAATTTTCAAGAGAGTTTGATTCATGCAAAGAAAAAAAGTGAAAAAATTCAATGAAAATATGTTTACAAATAGAAAACGAAATAGTACTAGCAAGACTAAAAACTCTTTTGGGCTAAAAAAAGGAATGGAAGTCTTATAACTATATGTACAGGTTTGTTATTGACATGAAGTGTTGAAATTCTAAATTGGTGTTCACCACAGGCTGTCGAAAATCTCCTCTTTCCAAAAAGTGGCTCTCCTTTGGACAGCTGGTCACAGCTGCCTGGGTGAAAGCCTAACTAGCACTGTCAGTTGTTATTTGCACTACCACTTATAATGAGCACTGTCTGTTGTAACTAGCACTTCTACCACATCACTACCTCTTACATGTAGATCAGGCAGGTGTAGCTGTATAATGGGAGTCATGAATGAGTAGTTTTAGTGGGGGGCTACCATTTTATTCTTTTGTGGGTGATGTTCCTAGGGAATCTGCAAGCCACAAGTGAAATTCCCCCTGCATCATTTCTTATGCTTTTTGCTTGCTGCCCACTTTTATCATTGATAATCCAAGTGAAGAAAATTTGTGTTATGAAAGGTCTTGCCAGATAGCTCATTAAACCACATGGGGACTCTGAGTGGGCCTGTCAATTTCAAGCCATTCGGGAAAGGCTTTTTTGGCACCATCTCTGTTGAACAGCAGAAAAACTTCTGCAAATCTTTTAAAATGGATCCGACTTTGTCGCTTTCAATTCCAAAGGGAAATGTACAGCTTTGGAACCGAAATTGACTCATCATGGAGTCACCCATTTTTGCTTTAGAACTATTTTCCTGCTTGCTCTCTGGATATTTAGTGAATCCAGGGCTTTCTTTATCTTTACCTTGCATTTTCCATTCGCAAATCTGCACGTTTTTGATATCTGCAGCTGCACTGCAACCTATTAAACACAAACAATGTGTCCTCTTGGGATAGATGACTGACATCGATTAACACCTGATTGTTGTTTCACTACTCTCAGCCAATCTGAAACTCCTATTTGCTTGAATCATGCTACTGAAACCAGAGATAGGCTCTGGCCTGATGGGCAGACTTTAAATTTTGTTATTGTTGTTTTGTTCACTGTATATGTGACCCTTTTTTTCCTTTCATTACAGGAAGTGGTACACAGAAGAAGAACAACAATGTTCAGAAGGCTAAAAAAAGGTATAACATAGAACTAGAAAGAGTACCACTCAAAGACAACCAAATCCTTGAAATAGCCTATTGGCATTGAGAAAGAGCAAGGCATAACCAGCTCATAACAAACTCAAATTTTCACGTTTCAATTTATTGAGTTATTTTTTTGTAAAAAAAATACCTCTTAGTCGGCGCGTCGGG